AAATAAAAAGCCAAAAGGTGAATGGCACAGGATAAATAAATTAGCAAAGCAAGCAGTTAAACACTGTGACATTAAATAAACTGGCTGCCAGTAATACAGATTTAACATCTCACTACCTGAAATTGCAACTGGCTAAACCCAAATTAATTAATATTTCAGGAGATCTCTTCATCAATAACCCTAAGGAGCAATTTGGAAGAAAAATTAGAGGCAGTGTCCACTGAAGTGACTCTGAAACACCTCCAATAAATTCCACTGACTACAGAAAAGCAATTTATTTTTTTTTTGGAGGTAATGCAATTGGAAAACACTTTTCCTCTCAAGCTTCAACAATCATTTCCTAAATTCTTTATAAGATCTTATTTTAAAGATATCATTCCCTCTTTGATCTTCTCTTATCCTTCCCAGTGGCATGCAGAAATAAATAAAATAGAGATTAGACTTCAGCTGGGCTGGGTTGGGATGGATTTACAACTTCATTCAGGGATTTTGGGGAGATTTTCCAGAGGCTCAGAGCACAATGAGGGCAGAATTTTATGGATTTCAGAATGAGATGGGGCTGGGTGAGGTGGAGACAAAACTCTCCAAGTTTCCAAGGCCAAATTTCCCCCAAATTCCAAATTTGATTCCAAAGTGTGGCAAATTCCTGCTGGGAGGTTGGGTGATATCCTTTCAACAATCCACATTCTGGTTTTTTCAGGATTAAATTCCATTTCCAGACATTCCAGTGGCACAACAAAAATCCTCAAAGTACTGAACAATGGGAATATGAAATTTCCCCTAAATTCCTGGGGATTTATTTAGTTCTGAGTGCACAAGAAAGAGTTGTGGAATTCTGCAAAGAAACTGAGCATCTCCTCAAAAATCCAATGTTTATCAAGAATAAGGGAATCCATAATTAAAACTAAACCAAGCAGGAATTTTTGAAATTTTGAAAGAATTTGTGGCTTCATGAACACCACGGAAAATAGGTTTAAGTGCAATTTTTAAACAATTAAAAAAAAAAAAAAATCCTGCAATAGCTCAGGATTGAGCATCACAGAGCAATTTACTCCTCCTAAGAGGACAAGGTAACAAAATGATTAAATGGAAAGGCATGGTGACAATTTATAGACAGATAAATAAGAATTAGCAAAATGAATTTTAATTAAAAAAAAATTAAATCTGAGGGAGTATTAAAAATATCTGAGTGGAAAGCACCATTTCAGTCATCAGGTGATTTTTCCTTCCAAGAATTGTGTGGAAAAGTGGAAATCAGGTGCCACTATTGGGTTTAATCACACTAATAAAATATTCCTGGCAGGTTCATTTATGCTGAACATAGAATGAATAAAAAAATTAAAAAGTTACCATTGTGAGGGGGGGGCAAAAAAAAAAAAAAGTACAAAAGCAATTTTTTCCAAGGGAGAAATAAAACACATCAGGTGCACTGAGCATTTAGTGACAGTTTAATATCAGTGAATAACTCACTTAAGCTTCTCCTGACATGCACAAGTGCAATTTTATTAAGAATTTTTTTTAATTTTTTTTTTTCATAAAGCAGAAATGCTGTGCTGCCACACCCACCCATCTGCACCTCCAGACTTCACAAGGAACACTGACAAAGGGAACAGCAATTTTTAAACCTCACTGCACGACTCAGTGCTGGAATTATTTCTTCATATGAACTCCT